TCCACCTCCCCAGTTTTTTTTTTTTTTTTAATTAAGATGATGTTTAGGAAATATCTCATCAATGCATAACCTGTTATGCACACAGAAAATATTCTCATTGTTACCAAATACTGAAGAACCTTGAACAAACCCCATCATTTCTTTAATTTTTATTACTGTTTTGATTGCGTGATTATTTATTTCAACATGAAAGAATATTTCTGCTTTTAAATTCTCTACTGATCAAGCTCACCATGAGTTATTTTAAAACACATTCCAAATATTTTATTTCGCCCAGCTTCATGTTGACAGGTACAATAGTCCCATCTTAGCTTCTGTTCACACAAGAACACATTTTGAAACCCAATTAATAAGAGGTAGAGAGCTCCACAGGCTCTGCAGAGCCCAGCACCTGCTGAGCAAACTGTCAAATGTTTGCCACGGTATTTAGAGCTGTATTATGGCAAAATGAAAAAAAAATAGGCATGGGAATGAAATTAAAAACTCACAATGAAATAGTTGATTAAGAAAATTAAGCCATTTAGCACAGACGCATACCTCCGCCTCCTGGAAGAAGCCTCAGGAGGCTGCCGTGGGCCTGAGTCCTTTAAAACGTTTGTCCTCTATGGCAATGACTGCTTAATTTTAGTCACAAAGGACTCTGTTGGCATTCATCTAAATTTTCAGACCCCTTTCAAATTTATTCATAAGTTTCCTCTTTCCCAGTGACCCCAACATACTTGGTGCTGGGAAAGGGTCTGTCTACAACTGGCAGATCTGCACCTAAGCCAGAAAAAAGCCATAGGGGTCCTGAGGCCCAACTCTGGAGGGCCCCTCCAGCAGGGCAGAGGCTCAGTCTCCCTGGGTCAGACATTTTAATTAGCAGATTTTTTTTTTTATGTGTAAGGGAGGAGGGGGAGGAAAGAGTGATAAGGGGGACTTTGAAGGAATAGGGATGAATAGACCTGACTCAATTCTCACCTCCTACTCTCACAGTAACCATCCTTTGATTTTGAGTTCCTCAGTCACCAGGTCTGTAGCTGGACCAGAGAAATTTTGTCCATTTTAGGTTGTTTATGCTTGTTGCTTTAGTTACCAAATTGAATTCCCCGGGTGGGACTATTAAAACTTCCAGAAATCTAGGGGTATACTTATCATGCCTTTATGTAATTTAATAGTGCTTAATATTTTACTCAGTATGAAGGATAGCTCGATTTGAGTTATAAAGTATTAGATTAATTCATTAAAAGAATTAGGTTGTTCATTTTGAACCTCAAAAGCTTCTTCGAAAAACCTTCCAATGTAAATGCAACTCGTAGAGCTGTTCCCAAGCAAAAATCTCTTCAATTTGACTTAGCTGTGAACTATTCAGGGCTCAGATTCAAGGGAACTCCTTCTAATAGGTTGATCATTGATTCAAAGAAACAAAAATATTCATTAGGAGCAATTTGTGTAACATGACATAGATCATAACATTTACATATTTAGAAATAGTCAATACCATGGCAACAATACTGATCTACAAGATTTCTTTCTTTCTTTTTTTCTTCTACCCACAATTTGTTCTTTAAAGGGCTTGAAAATGATATTAAGATTAAATAAAATATACCAAGTAAAAATTATAAAACAAAAAAGAAAATAACATAAAAGTACATTCACAAAATAAAAATGAAGACTAAATAAAAAAATGGATCCTGCAAAGGCTTATACACATGCAGAAAACTTGGGTCTAAGCTTCCTGGCAACCAACTGAAGTAGATGAGGTACTTGATCAGGTATACAACCCACAGTGTTTAAGAGACAAAATAGTTCATTTTTCTCCTGAGAACTGTTCTAGTCACCTTTTTGTTGCTGTGACCAAAAGACCTGACAAGAACAATTTAGAGGAGGGAAAGTTTATTGTCACTCATGGTTTCAGAAGTCTCAGTCTAGAGAAGGCTGACTCCTTTGCTCTGTGCCCAAGGTGAAGCAGACCTTCGTGGTGGAAGAGCGTGGTAGAAAAAAGCAGGCTCAGAACATGGCACCAGGAAGAGAGGCAGGGGAAAGGGCTTCACTCATCACGAATAAAATACATATCTCAAAGGCATGCCCCCCCAGGACCCACCTCCTCCAGCCACACCCTACCCACCTCCAGTTACCACCCATTAATCTCTATCAGGGGATAAATACATTGATTATGTTAAAACTCTCATAACCCAATCATCTCACCTCTAAACTGTCTTGCATTGTCTCACACATGAGCTTTTGGGGGTACCTCATATCTAAATCATAACTACTCTTAGCATGAAATCCAGCCAAAGACTCTTGGGGGTTTAATCCAGGCAAAGACCTCTTGGGTGTTTATCAAGTTGTGACTATAATGACCCTGATCCATTCTAAGTTTTCTTAAGTGTGGACCAGGTTGAGTTTCATGAGGCATGCTTACCATGTGTTTCAGTACAGATGATCTTCACATCAAGAGCTGTGACAACTGATCCTCACATCAACTGATATCTATACAATGAGTCCATGATCTGGTAAAGTTTGGGGGATAGATCTGAGAATCTGCCAAAAGGGAAGGACTACTCTATCAATTAAGTTGGACTGGTTTGTACTGTGATACCAAAACACCAGAAAAGTCTCAGTGGCTTAAAACTAGAATGTTTATTTCTTGTTCATGCAACATGTTCATCATACATTGGACAGCGGGTGGGTAGGGAAGTTCTGTTCATTGTAGTCAACTAGGAATCTGAGTGGAGGCTCCATGCTTTCATGATTAGAGACTGGGGAAGGAACATGGCAAACCATGCACTGGCTTTCAAAACTTTTGTCCAGCACACTTATCACATTTGCTGACCTTTCACTGGCTGAAGCAAGTCAGTCATCAGACCAGGACGGTCTTCTGTAGAAGGCAGCTGTGCAGCCTTCCCTGGGAAGTGTACTCGATATCATAAACAACAATATAGGTTGTGACAACCATGCATCCTTAACAAAAAACCCTAAAGAATGATTTTCTCAGCTGACATTTCCCAAGATATTGGGTGACAAATACCTCTAAATTGCATTATTTCCTACCAACTCCCTGAAGTGCAGTGTTCTCTGCTGGTGATTGAAAACGAGAACTGTCTGCTTTCATGGACAGACAGACTAGCTGGGGGTAAGATGGATATTCTTCCATGAAAATATATCAGGCTATGAAGGCCTTGTGCCAGACTAGTTCCTGTAAATTGAAACATTTTATTGCCTTTGACAACTTATACTTCACTATTTTTCTTCTCTAGTTAGAACATACTGGTAACTAGACATATATACAACCATATATTGGCATAACGATGAATCTTTCATGATTCATCATGACTGGTTTTTTTTTTTTTTTTTTTGACTCCTCCTTTCAAAAATAATCAGTGACTCTCAGTGGCATTCCTAGCATTTTTGAGAAGGCGGATATTGGGGATTGAACTCAGAGGCACTTGACCATCGAGCCACATCCCTAGTCCTATTTTATATTTTATTTAGAGACAGGGTCTCACTGAGTTGCTTAGCCCTTTGCTTTTACTGAGGCTGGCTTTGAACTCACAATCCTCCTGCCTCAGCCTTCCTAGCCACTGGGATTACAGGCATGCACCACTGTGCCCTGAAATTCTTAGCATTTTTGACACCTTGACTAGGTCATTTTTTTTATAATTGCCTCCCTCCCTTCCTCTGTGTGATGAAATTATTTACATGTAGTAATTGATAATCAACATAAGTGTTTAATCTTTTGCTCTAAAAAAGCACATAAAAGAGAATGATTATGATTTTAAATATTGCTCAAATTCAGACTCTTTTACATATGAACTAAAATTCCCACTTCTCAAATAAAAAAAAAAATACACTTGTACTTTGCATTTAAAGAAAAATAACAAAACTCTAAGTGACCCAAGTTCCATAACTCAAGTTCTGTTTCATGGTGCTTAAGATAAACACAAGGACTCCCAGTTCACTGTGGAAAGATTGCAGCTGATTGTGGGCGTGTTGGGGAACAACTCTATAACTGAGGTTCCATGAATTAATTTCCATGTAGAGCACAGTGTTTGGTAAGGATAAATAATAAACATGTGCCAATTCAACCTTATAATATATTATTAAAACTCCACATAATGGCAATTGTTCAAAACTAAGATCTACAAAAGATTTTTTTTCCTGAGGAGGAATATTTTATCACTTTATTGTTTAGAATTGTAGGCAGGAGGTGATGATTAGAATCAGAACAACTAGGTCTTATTATAGCTTTAAAATCCTCTATAGACAGAGCCCCCCCCCCTCCCGCATTGCCTGTACCCTGAACACCTAACACCCCCCATACTTGGTCAGCCACTGGTGATTCCCCAATGTTTACACAATTGAGTACAAAGTGAGACCCCTTAACAGAATTCTTCATAATGTGGTCTCAACCTTCTGTTGGCTAATTTGCCACAATTCAACTAGTTGTGAAAATATCCACCATCTAGAATATTGAGAATACTCTACTTCCTTCACCCTTCTTCCTTTTAAAAATATTTCTATGTGTGTGTTCATATTTCTCCTCCGACAATGTAAGCATAAAGGGCATAGGCTTTAGGGCCAGGATGTTCTGCATTGAATTTTCTGTCTGCAGCTTGTAAATTGTGTGAGCTTGGGAAGTTTGGAACCTAGCTGCTCCCTCTCCTCCTCCTATAAAACTCACAACAGAGGTTAGTATGCAAACACTATCGGAGTAGATGAAAACAGAAGGGATGTGTGTAATTGTCACACTACACATCTTTTATTATCCTCCCTTGTTAACTTTGGCATATCTAATATTTAGAGGGCTTGACACTAAATAGGCCCTTATGAATCTTGACCAACTAAGTTGAATTGATTGAACGTCGTGGTATCCAACCTAAAAGGTTACATGGTAAGGGCCCAGGCTCCAGCCCTTACTGTAACTGCCTCAGCTGTGAGTCTTGAGCATTATCATAAGAAAGAAATCTAGGATATTTCTTATTTTGCTTCAGTTCCTCTTCGTCAACTGTGCAGACGTCTCTTGTCCAGAACAAACATCGTGATAAACAAGGAGGCAGCAGAAGCGTGAGTGGGGATGGGAACTGACCGCAGAGGAATCTGGATGAGGTGTCCATTTCACCTCCAGTCCTGTCCTAGCATTTGAGCAGCTCAGAGGTCAGGAATGCTGTTGTCATCAGGGCTAGAGCTGTGTCCTGAATAAATACCAAGTTAGGAGGAAGATGACTCAGAGCTGCCTAAACCTCATACTCCTCCGATATTTTAAGCAACAGAAAGTGGTAAGCAGCTGTTAGATATCTTTGCTTCTTTGTTCAGGCAAAGCTTAGCCTGTTCCCTTTGGAAGGAAAATGGTCATAATTTCCAGTCCATTTTAAACTCTCCCTTCTTAGAATTGTTACTGCATGCATAACCTGGGCTATGCAACTTGGTTTTATACAAGCTCATCTCGTTTTCTAATTATTTCCTGGTCTCCTAAGTGGATATTAAGTTTGTTGTGGGAAAAAATCATATCTGTGTTCCTCTTATATTCTCTCCAAATTCAACAATTGTCTTAGGCCCAAAGTAGGTGGTGCACACAAATACTAATTTCATTTGCATAGGACTTTAAAATGAACTAATTACTTTTTTATCCATTTTTTTTCCTTTGAACTTCACTACAAATCCATAAAGTAATTGTTTTTATCTTTATTTTATAGGCCAAGAAACTAAAGTTCAAAGAGATTAAGTACACTGCCAAGAATCAGCATCATACAACTAATAATTAGCAGAGCCTGAAATTATTTATATACATACATATTCTGAGAACTTTGTTGAAAAACTTTTAGAAATGTATATTTAATTCCTTTCTAGTTATTGGATTTCTGTCCCCACTTTTTTACCTCTGGCTCTGAAGGTAGTTAGAACACCATTTTGTAACTTGCAAAGGTATACATCTAGAGCCTAATTATTTTGCTTGCACACTTAAAATTTTTTTTGACATATTTAAGAAGAAATGGCATGGAAATTTTCAAGTAATAAGAAATCACAAATTTATTATATTTTACTTAAATGAATTATGTTTGTAACACATTATGTTTGTAGCAGATTCTCAAGTAATTCATAGTACTTTCAGGAATTATTAGCTTTAAAAATAAGGAAGGGTATGCAAGAGTCTGCGTGGTTAAGGAGAACAAAATGGTATAAATAATTTAAATTGGTAGACTCAGCTGATTCTGTCGATATAATTTATGAAGGACCTGCATTTCCTATCATAACTAGAGAGTGGTTTTGAACATGAATTGACATTCAGGGAGGTTGGATACTCTAGGAATAAAATTAAAACAACCCAGTTTATACACTAAAGTGCCTATAAGAGCTACCTTGCTTCTTCATTTTGGTCTTATGCTGTAAATTTACAGCAACTCTGAGATTGATGGAAGACACTTGCCTCAATTATTATGCTATGATTCATAGATTCTTACTATAGAATGTAATTGTTTTGGCTTCCTCTTCTAGCTATTTCTAGGCTAGAGTAAGTAAACAATCTATTTATATCAACAAAGTAATAATTTGATCAAATTAAATGTTAAAACCAATTAAAATGGGAAAAGAATTTTCTGTACAGACAGTACAAGCACAGCTATGGAGTCTTTATTTTAGAGATTATTGAATATGATGTGCAAACATTTTATGCCACAATTAATGTCTTCAGTCATTTACAACACTTCTTTTTTACTTCAAAATTGTGAAGAATAAACAGTAAATTGAAATATTTGAGGAAGTTAGCTTCATGGAAGGGTGGGGAGATTCCTTGTTGTAGCTGTAGAGAAATTTCTATCTCCCAGTTTCATCCCCCGTCCCACTTAACGTGCGTTAGCCTGAAATAGTTCACTGTTCTTCTCTGTTAAAAATAATGCATGGTCATCTAGATTGATGATTACTGCTTCATTCGAGGTTCTGTAAATAATGATAACATTACTGTCTAGCACATTATATAAGATCACCTAAATTATAAGTAGAAGATGTATCATGTCATGGTCAAGTCTAATATCTATAATTTACAGGCTTAATTCTCACTGTCATATGTGTCTGTTGAAGAGGGCAAGAATGATGATCCTTATCAGAAAAATATGTGAAACCTCTTTTTTATTTGTTTTGTATTTATTTTTAACCTGGTGCTTAAGAAATTGTGAAATCTAAAGGAAAAAAATCTCCCTAAGAGGATCACCCCCTCCAACTAGATTCCCTGAAGCACATTTTGTGGACCTAATGTGTGTCTGGCACCAGTTTGAGGATGGTGGTAGAGGTGTAGGAGGCGTGAACCCTGTTGGGACATCTGCCTTGCTTTCACTGTTGATGATGCTTCATTGAGGAAAGTGTTGCAGTCTGTCTATCTCTTCTGTTTAGGAAGTATTATAAATTATTATTAAAATTTTTTTTAAACTTTCATTTTGTCCTTAGAATCTTATGTTTTTATTTTTTGTTGTTCTCTGAAACCATATTTAGCTGTTTACCCTTTCTTGTAGCTATAACTATCCATTATATATTTCGTTGTCTTCCAAGATAGCTTTATCTTAATTTCTTATTTTGGCTGTCTTCTTTCTTTTAGATTTTTGCCAATTTTCTTAACATAACAACTTTGGGCTCTCTGGTGGTAATTTTCCCATCTGTTATGATTTTGTAATCTTGTCTACAAACCTTTCATTATCAACACCAATTGGTGCATAGAAGTGAGTTATTCTTATTTCCAGTTTAGAGCTCGTTGTATATCCAGAACAGATTTCTTTTTTTAAAAAAATTATATTTTTCAATTTGTGCCTCTGCATCTATTCTCTTCTCCTTACATAGTTGATATTAATATTTTAGTGTATCAGGCTGAACTTTGTGAAACTGACATTGATGTAGGTCAGAAGGTTGAATATTAGCAATTTCATGTGATTCAAACGAGCATGCCTCTCCAACTCTCATTTGTTATTAATTATATGTATATAACAGAAAAAATACAATGTTTTATGAATATGTATGAATCCTTCCCTAACTAAATTAGTGGTTTCCACTATATTAAATACCAGGTCTGCATAAACACAAGACTATTCTTGGGTTCTATATTTTCTTCCATTGGCCTTCACTTCTGCATAGCTGTCATGAGATACCATGGTTTTGTTTCTCCCCCAAGATTGTTTGAGATATTCATTGGTTTTCAGAGTTTTAAAATAAATTTTAGTTAATATTTAACCATCCATCTTCCAATTTTAATTTCTCTCCTATATTCCATCCTCACTCTGTTTGCTATATTGTGGTACAGATTTTCTCCATAGTGCATTATTGATCTGCTGTATTTTTTATGTTGACTATTATAATTGTAATATCCAAGGTCTTTATCACATTTCCTGATCATTCCTTTGTAATAGCTCTTGTTCTTGATTCATGGATGCAACATGTTCTCTTATTTCTCCAAAAATATTAAAATAGTTTTGTTTCTGTATTTGGTTTTTGTTAATGAAGTCTTTTTTTCTTCTGATTTGCTTCTTAGCTCCTCCATAATCAAGACCTGGTTATATTTAGGATGGAGATTTGAAAACCAGAGTTGGCTTGACTGTAGCCTGAACTGGCTAGGATGCTCAGGAGCCTGTCACACCACCATCTTTGACCTCTCCTGTTCCCAGAGAATAATCTTCTAATCTCCAGTTTAGATACCACTAAGGCCAGCTATTAGCACCTAGTAATGAATAAGAAAGCAGAATGGAGATCTCAAAATTCCTTCCGTGAAATTTCACTTAGTTCCCCTACCTTCAGGATGTCATCGTTTTTTCTCCTAGGCATGATGTCCCCCAAGTTCAGGAGTCACTGTTTCCCTGACTCTGGAGAATAAACTTCTAGTCCTTCTGCTGGGTGGAGTATAGTTGCTGGCACAGAACAGAGGAGGGTGCATGGAGATGTTTCCTAAATAGGCTTTTAACCAGTCCTTGTAAGTAGTCATGAAGTTCCCTTTAAATCCCCACTTTCAGAGGTGCCTGGTGCTGAAAGTATCTCAATTTTAGGAAAGTTTTGCCGAACAGAAAAGTTTCTCAGATTTCAGTGCTACCAACTTAGCAGTTTAGTTTCTCTCTCTTAGTTTGCTAAGTGATTTAATACTCATTCTTCTGCTTTTCATCTTCTGCAGTTTTATTGCAATTCTCCCATCCTCTGTTCTCATATACCTTATAGCTGTATGCTTTAATAGATGTTTTCACCGTTGTTTAATGGGTTTTCTGGAGGGGGTGGATTAAAAGGAACACATCCCATTCCTTACTTTCCACTGGAAATCCCTGCTGTTGTCTTTTATTATTTCCTTTTAATTTCTTTGGTTTTCCTAGTCAGCATTTTACAAGTGATTTGAGTAATCACTTGTTTCTTTAAATCCTTCTTAGTTTTTGATAACTGTATTTAAAATTTCTTCTTAGTACTATTTCCAGAACTTGAGGTGTAAGTTTTCATTGTGATTTAACTGCAAATGTTTAACAATTTCAATTTTTGTAACAGATTTTACAGTTTGCAGGAACATGGAATGTAGACTTTTAAAAAATTTAATGTATTATTCATTACTGTGTGATCGAATAAAAATGTTGGTATGATACCGATTCTTTGGGATTTATTGAAGCTCATGTATGGCTTAGTGCATGATAGATTTTTTCCTTCCTTTTTTTTAGATATTCCATTTATGCTTGAAAAAGTGTTCTCTGTGTTTATTAGGTGACACAAATTCTGGATGGGTATAAGTCAAGCTCTTTCCTTCTCAAATCTTTTGTTTATTTTTGGTCCTTCTTCATAGTTCCACCATCTTCTCTGAAATCTAAAGACTTTCTTGCTTGTCCTTGGCATTTGGGGATTTGCAAAATCTCCTACAGATTATGACAGTGGTCTGTTCTGTGTACCTGTCTGAGCCTTCTTCCTTTTACTGATACAAGGAGGCAATTTTGGCAGCTTATATTTTTCCTTGTGCTAAAGATGCAAAGGTAATTAAAAGAGACTCACATCAAATATTTTTATTTTACCAATAGAAAATCTGAGGCCTGAATAAGTTAATTGACTTTCCTAAATTCTACCATTAGTTCATCTAGTTAGCTAATATGACTAGTCAATCTTATCTACCAACACTTCTCTCAGTTTGCAGTTGAGGGTAAAAATGTCTCCACAGACCAAATGATAAGATATGATAATATTTGTGAAAGTGCCTTTTTAACAATGAAGTATTTTATAAATGTAAGGGATTCTTATTAGAGTTCAGTACAATTTTCATAATTGCAGAATTACTCTGAAT